TGTGGTAGATCATAAAGAATAAAAGAAGCATGTATGTACAAAAGAATAGACACATTATTTCAATATTTTTAAAGCTGTTCAACTATATTAATTTTAAAACTCCCATCTACAAGCCCTATCAGTGTTACCATAACTTGTCACTCTATTTTTGTGGCTATGCCTCCAATAAAGCTGTAAAATGATTAGGAGCAGCTAATTATTCTTCCACCACTCCAATTGTTAAGATATTAATGGTGAGCTAAGAGTCCTCAGGATACAACCATGTCTTTTTGTCCTGGCAAAAATACAGACTCCTCACTAAGTTCCTCAGTGCAGAGTACTCTTTGTGTGTGGCTTTGATTTTTGTTTGAAAGCAGTAAAAATAGCAAAACAAGTACAAGTGTTTATATGCATTGTGTGTAAAGGGAAATAGAATTATTTGATTTTATTTTCAAAATAGGCCAGGAAAAGAAGGTAGAAAAATAAAATAAAATTAAATATATGTTGCAGAATGAATGTGCTGTATCATGTACATATTGTGTAAGATGTGACTACTTCAAAGATCTATACTTTTTCACTATTTTTCTTTTAGGTAAGGTCCTTATGTATTTAAATATTGTATATAATTTATTTTGTCTTAGCAAATGTTTCATGATACTCAGGCTACTAGGTATGAGGGAATACTGGCTGTGACATCTGTCAACACATTAATTTCCAGTGTTGATGCAGATGGTCTGAGCTGATCCCAGCTCTCCCTTCCCATTCCAGTAATGTCCCTTCCAGAACTCTGTGCTCATCCAAAGTGAATGACCTTCTGAAGTAGAATCAGTCACAAAGGGCATTTAAAAAGGATATCCCTTCCTTAAAATTTAGAGGTGTTCGTATTTGTTCAAATATATATGTCTCTAGAACAAATAGGTAAGCTTTGGGATAATTTCCTTTTTCTAACAGTACAGCAAATAGTCTTGATGTTCGGGTTTCACAGACTTGAGCAGTTAAGTGCTTTTGAAGTTTACTAATTCACTTTATTTTTTCAGCCTGAGTTTCTTTAACAAAACAAATTAATGCTATCTCAAAGAGTTGTTTGTAGAGGCTACCCATAGTCATTAAACCATATTTTGGGTAGCACCTGTGGACCAGGCACTATTATAGGTATTGGGGCAACAATATTAATATATTATAAATAGTAATCAAACTAATTTTCCTTGTCCTCTTTCTGATTTCATTGAAGGTAGGGGAGATATCCATTAAGCAAATATGTCTGTAAAATATATGCTGTGCTTGATGATGTTAAATGATATAAAAATAAAAACAAAGATGAGAAATATTGGTAAAGAGGAATTACAAATTTAAGTCTCAGGTGCTAAGTAGGAGCTTCACTGAAGCAGTGATTTTAAGTAAAGACCTAAAACAGGAGAGAAAAATATTGTACTAAATGTAATAATTTATTTTAAAAGGAGCAGCTTGATTTCTGGCTCAAATGTCAGCAAGTGCTTAATGAATATTTTTTTAATAGAACCATCTTGGTTTAAAGAAGACAATTTTGATGTAAAACTTGGTGGCTTTACTTTGTAATTGTAGAAGTGGCATGTGATTGATATATTACTGCCACTTTTTGGTTACTTCTCTTACTATTTGTCATGTAAAAAAAATCCAAAGAGTAAAATATATTCTCAAAATCGTGTGGTCACAGGGACAACCTAATTATTTTAGATTCATTTATTTATTTTCAAAGAGAAAAAAAATCTCTTATAATGTCAGAATAGAAAGTATTCTTTAAAATAGTTTCTAGATGGAAAATGATAAAGCCAGGTTTTATTTTTACCAGAGTTATCTTAAGACACTTAAAGTTTATTTTTACCTTATTATAAGAAGAAAGCTAAAAATAGGCCTGAAACATTGACTTTTGTCCAAATTGAATTTCATGGAGCATCCAGAATGATGCATCTTTCCCTTCAAATATTTATCCATCACTTCTAGACAAGTAGTGTTTGAGGCAGTAAATAACAGGCAGAGAGAACAGGAGAAAACAGTTTTTTAATGCCTCGTGCTTAAACTGTCACTCTGGCAGGAAGTAATAACTGCATTATTTAAGGCAAGGTAATAGACTACTTCCTGTTAGAGGCAAATTACTTTGTGATCTGCTGCCTTACTCTCAGAAGCCAGCATTTTCTTGGTAAGACTGGAGTTGTGAGATTTGATGCGATAGATTATCTACTGAATCCTAATGCGCACCAGAAAAGAGTTTCCTTTGAAGTTTCTGACCGTTGTTCATCACAGAATGAAGTATCTTGCCAACTGTGAGCTTTTCTGTATGGGAGAAAGTAGTATGCTTTATAAAGAACGTAGACTTGAAGGCAGAAGGATCTATATTTGACTCCACTGCTCATCAGTTGTGTGATTCTGGATAAAATACTTAATATTATAGTATTCAGATGCCTTACCTGTGAAAAATACAAGTAGTAATACTAACTTAAATGAGTTGCTCAGAGGATTAAATATGTGTAAAGAGCCGGACCTCATTTTTTTAGTGTCAACAAGCAAATGTTTACTATTTAAGAGATGAGTTAGCTATCTCAAGTTACAAAGTGAACATGGTGGTGTGTAGGGGCTGAGATTCAAGAGGAGGTGTTGCAAATTCTGTCAGTTGTAGAAGGCACCCAGAAAATATCACTATACTTTTCAGTTTCCTCTTTTCCTTAGAACATAATTTTCATCAGAAATTGCTTGTGATTCTGGAAGACTGTATATTAAGCTTCCACCTACATAAACACTGTGTGTAAGATGCCTGTCCAATTTTAAAAACCATTTGATATACAAAAGAGTGTAGGTTGTACTTAGACACTACCGTGCACAGAAATAATTTGAAAGAGTTCGGGTCTGCCTGAGGGACACTATTTGAAAATATAGTGTGTATACATCATGCATATTTCAGGATTTTATAAAGCTAAAGTTTCCTCTGCTATTACTTTTCATTTTTTCGAATCATGTTTACCTACCCATAATGTCACTTTGTTGTAATATTTCAGTGATTTTTTTTGTGTGGGATGCGAGAAATAATATAAATGAGCATTCTACCCTGAAATTATTAAATATACAAAGTGCTCATATTTGTTTAAAGATATACATGATGAAATACATGAATAGTAGCATTTTCGAATAAAATCATAGTAACTGGGTGATAATTGAATTTCACACCTTCAAACAGGCTGCCTATTGGTAAAAAGATGAAGTGTAAATAACAATATTTGCTGTGTTTCTGCTAATTAAATTGCATAATGTGAGCTTATTGCGTTTTTGTCACAATGGTTTGAAAAAGATTTTAAAGTGCTTCTGCATGGCCTTCATTTTTGAGAGTTATGAACTTTCTTTCATATGCTTTTGGATAGACAATATAGAAAGAATAACAAATGTTTTGTATTGTAAAAAAATGAAATTTAATGGAGACTAATTATAAAATATATTTATTTGATTATTAACACAATTAAAGTACATATAGTGAGGTGTGAGACGCATATCCTACCTCTTGTTGTGGTTCTCAAGAAAGTCTACACAGAGTGATAGATCTGAGGTGAAACAGAAATGTAAATCAAGGATGAAGATGGATGTAAAAGCCATCTTCCCTAAGAAAAGCCGGAGCGGAAGTATAACTGGCACTAGGTGAGTTACAGAAGGCAGCTTGGGCTTTAAAATAACTGGTAACATTGCAAAATACCACGCGTATAGCAGTGAAGGAGAGGGCGGGTTGAGAATAGTGGATGGAAGATACGAAGCAAGTTAACTGCAGCCGCCCTTTCCTTCCTTTAGTTTCATTTCCACCCTCTGTTACCTGTGCTCAGCTGTGACCCATATCGCTGTGTCTTGACTCTGTTGAGAAAGAGAACATATTCACCTAACATTTACATTTGAATATGTTTGATTGTTTTATTTTACTGTTATCTATTATTAAACTTTTATTGTGCCTAGATTATGAGTTACAATTTATCATCGTTTATATGTATAGAAAAAAATTGTATAGAAAGGGTTTTGTTCTATTTGTGGTTTCAGGCATCCACTGGAGGTTTTGGGTTATATCCCTTGTGGATAAAGGGGAACTATAATCTAAAAATATACTTTTGCATATTAACAGTATTCAGAAATATTGGTGAAGGAATTTTTCCACATCAGTGAAATTTCTAATAAATGCTAAGGAAGAGACAGTTTAATTTATCCATTCTTGATAAAAATGTGTTTCACTATTTCTTTGCTTCATTAAAGACAGTATAAAGAACATGCTCTCTCCCCCTTTGTGTTGCCTGTACAAGATTTTGTATAATTATCAAATATATATTTTACCCTCTGGTATAACATACCATATCTTCCTGAACTATTTGGATAGCTAAGTCTCTTTCCCCCTTCTTTTTGATGTCCTAGATTGCGTTGATTTTTGTAGTTCTGACTGATACCTTTTTTTGCCAGTTCTTGTATTTTCCAGGCAGAGAGCCTTCTGCTTGTTCCTAGTAGCTTTTCTTTCATGTAATACCTTTGACTTAATTAACTTTGCAATGTTTGACAACTCCTTTGGCTAGGTAAAACTCTTGTAATTTATTTTGTATTATCTTAATGCATGCCTTTATCTCTCAAACTAATTCTAGACAACTATATGTCTTCTAAACATATTTTAGTCGCCTGTATTAGTTTGTATATTATTGAGTTATTCCGTGTGATGGAACTTTCTATATCATGAAGGAAAAAAATAAATAAATTTAGAACCTGGGAGTGTATGGGTGCCAATTGGTATAAGTGCTTAGACTTCTTTGTGTGAGACATTTCCCAGATTTTCCTAGAATGACTTCTTATTCAGTGACATCGTATTTTCAGTTTGAAACTAGCTTTGGCAGGAGTAATTGGATGCTACATTTCTAAAAGAGCATGACAGGAGCCCAGGGATGAGTTGTTACTGAATGCCAGGATGGGACCTCTCTCTTGGACAGGAGGAAAAACTGAAAGAAATGTCTTTTCTCTCACTGTGCCATGTTCACAGGGGCTGACATATAAGACACGGGGTAGCCTTGGCCATTCCCTCTTCACACAGAGCAGCTTCAGCTCTTTCCAGGTTCCTACAATATGAAAAAAGTGCTGTGAAAACCTGAGTAATGCTGGAGCCACAATAAGGAAGGATTAAAAGGATGCCAGAACACACTTCAGCCTTTTATGCCTTATAATTTCAAGTATGATTAAAAAACAGTTGAAATACTATGTGGCCATATGTATTCATCAGCTTTTCTCTTTCTGAGCCAAAATACCTGGTATCTGTAATGTGAAGGAGGAGAAGCTTGTGTTGATTTAAAGTTTCAGATGCTTCATTCCACGATTGATGTGTTCTAAGGCACAGACGTGGCAGAAGGCCGTGGTTAGGCAAAGCCGCTTGGCTCATGGCTTCTGGGGTGCAGAGAGACAGGGAAAGAATGCCAGAAAGGAAAGGGTCAGGGACGAGATCCAATACCTGAGATCACGTGACTATGACCCACCCACACACATCCAGAAGCCTGCTTTACTAATCTAGGTGTCTCTCAAAAAATCTAGCTACTAGTCACGAATAAGCATCTCAGCTCCGCAGTCCCTAGTACAGCTGGGGTCCGATTTTATCAAATTTACATGCTAAATTTATGAGTGTAGGCTTATTTTAACAGATAGACAAAAGGCCAGAGGAATTGGCACTTTCTGTTCATGCTGATATTTCAATTAAAGAATGATTTGCACACGATTTTGTATATTAAGAAAATTTGATATGTGAAAAATAGTTTGGAGAAGAAAAATCAGGGCTTATGCCCATGTAATTGGTAATATTTTCATCTTAGAAAGAGAAAACATTTACCTACAGAAAGAAAATTTTCTAATGTCTGTAACTTTTACAGATGGTTTGTATCTGGACATGGTGGTGTGCTCACGTTTAGTCCCAGCCCTTGAGAGGCTGAGGCAGGAGGATCACTGTGAGCCTCGGCTACATAGTGAGTTTAAGGACAGCCTGAACTACATAGCAAGACCCTGTCTCAAAAACAAAACAAAAAGAAATAAAAATAATGACAATTTTTATTTTATATTTTTTTCTATACACATACACAAATACACATACATATATACGAACATTTTAGATGTTGGGTCCATTTAAACATTTTTCTGGTAAAGCTTTCAGAAGTTAAGTAGGTGTATTTTTCAATGTCAGACTGACTAAGATAATTCAACCTTATTTATGGGTAATTCAACCTTATTTATATATGTCTGGAATATATAACTCTTACATATATTAATGGGAATTAGAGCTTAGAATGGATTCATAATGATATTGCCATCAAATTTTATGGATCAGTGGAGATTATTAGACTTTCTGGAAGCATGCTGTTCTTATAAAGGCCTTAGTTATAAAACAAATGTTATTTTCTTTTGTTAACCTCAAGAGTCTAGATAGTAGATGACAGACAATGCAAGCTTTCATGTTATATTACTCAGTGTAGAAAGGAATTGTAGAAGCTTTTCTTATTTCTGAGTGTGTTTATTTTTAATGGGTAAGTTAGAATGTGGTATTTCAACCTCTCTGACAAATCAGTTTATCAGCATTCATCTGAGACCACATAGCAAATAAAATATTGTAGTAGGTCCCAATAAAATTTATACCCAGAACTTCTGGGCAGTTTAAAAGAAAAACTGTTGTCAAAACCATTCTGATTCTATAGTTCTCATGTGGCCTTGAACTCCATAGTTTGTTAAATAAAACCAGTTTGAGAATTACTGCTATATTAGATTATGCAGAAATATTCAATAAAAATGCAGTAAAAATAGATATAAGAGCTTTCCTTTTGCTTTTACTTTCTAGTTTGGCCAAAGGAACATATAGAAACATTAAATGATACCTTCAAAGCTAACAAAGATGAATAAATATTAATATAGACAGAAAAGAAAGTAATATGCTTTATAAGAGTCAACCAAGTATTCGTTTTGATTTGTTAGTGTTTTTCAAAAATTGAGAGTTTGGGGGTGAAGTATGATGACAGCTGAATAAGATCCTCTTATTATCTTTCCCATAGATACACAAGTTGAAAAGCTGTTCACTCACCAAGCTACCAGCACATGAGAGCCAAGGAAATCAGGTGAGAATTCCACTAGTGCTTGCATCACAGTACCTATCTTTAGTACATTCCAAAAAGTGGTCCTGGAGAAGGCTGAGCGAATGAATTGTTTTTATCACCCCACTCCAAGCTCAACCCAGAGATACATTTTCGTACTTCTCTGAAGACAGAGAATTTAATTGAGACCTTAAGCTTGAAGCCAAGTACCAGGCTTGCTACAGTAAAACCCAGTGCTGGGCAAAGCCCCAGGATTCCTACTGACCTCCCAAAAACAGATTGAGCCACTGCAAGTGCATTTGTGAGGTTGCAAAAGAGGAAGAATCCACTGCCTCACCTCCAGTCTCAAATGGCTGACCGGGGAGCCAATGATCAGCAGGTCAGAAAGGCTGGTTCCAGAACCCAGTTCCAGGCCTGCCATAGTAAAAATAAATGCCCAGTAGATAGGGTATTATGAAGGCCTCATACACAGGTCAGAGCTTGCAGAGCCTTAGAGCAGCTAGCTCTAGTACCATGCATAGACTTGTGTGCCTGTGGGTCACATCTGAGTCACTGATACATCGATACACATTTTGGAGTGGGTCTGGAAAGACATACTTCGTTCTGTAATTGCATAGGACCCTGCAGCTGTGAGTCACAGGAATGGCATAGCTTAGCACTAGCCTTGGCAATCAAGAGTGAAGTCTGTCTTTATCTCTCATACCCCTGTCTTCAGCAGCGCAGCTATCACAACGGGCCAGTGCTCACTGATGGGGCTTTAGAATTTCCCCAGCACCAGGCAGACACTTGTGCAAGAGTGGAACAGAATTATCTTTCAGTCTGCATCAACAGTATTTAGTATGTTGGCTTCAATATACCTCTGTAGGTTAATTCAGCTGTGTAACTCAGGCATTATCCAGCTTAACAATAGCTCAGGAGACCAAGCCTGTGCCTTCACCAATACACCTTAACCACAGACAGCACAGAATGGTATGAGACTCTAGTCACTATGGATAGCACAGGTAGTAAGCCGTGGAAATTAATTTTGTGTTGGTAAACCTAGCACTGAGCAGATCATAATGATCCATATTCATATGGCCTTCCTATGGATAAGGACTCTGACACAGCTCTTCAGTGCTAGGGAAAGAAATACTTTCATAGTCTATTGAACTTCTATTGCAGTTGCTCTCACCAGTGGCTGGTTAAAGTGGTCTTGGGCATGAGTCTACCACAACAATAGGCAGCCCCTAAATAAGTGGTTCTTCGTCCTAACCTAGTACTCTCTGGGTCTTGGTGAATTGTGGGTTTCAAGGTATGTCACAGTTTGATGGCTTTGTTGGCCGCAGATATGGATATAGGGTATCCAGATATAGGAGCCTGGGGCTGGTCCATGCAAGGAGATTCTGTCCAGAGTCAGGAAAAATCCTGTAGTATTTAACCATGGATCAGTAATTCTGAACAAAGCATCCAGGCTTATGCTATCACCAGGAAGAGGCTCTTGAGAGCAAACTCCTCCAGTATCTCTAGGTGCTCTCTTTTTCCTTTTGAGCAAACTCTACTACAAATGTTATAAGTAGTAAATGAATTCTGTAATTTCGGAATACAAAAACCAACCAACAAAAAGCAGTAGCATTTCTGTATGCCAATAATAAATTATTTGAAATACAAATCAGGAAAGCAATCCTATTCACGATAGCTATAAAAATGAATAAATTTAATCAAAGGGGTAAAATATTTATTATGACTTCTAGTTTTATTTCATTGTGATATGAGAATATTTGTGATATAATTGCAGTATTTTTAAAATTTGTTAAAACTTGTTTTTTGGCCTAAACTTGATCTATTTTAGAGAAAATTTTCACATGTTGAAATAATATGTAGCCACAGGTATTACATAAAATATTCTGTAAATGTTTAGACTGTTTAATGTGGAGTACAGTTTATCCATGGTGTTTCTTTGCAGAATATTTATCTGAGTGATCTATTTTTTAATTAAATAATTTTACTAGTACATTTAAGGTATACAATATAATGACATAATTCATTGGAAATTTGCACCTTTACATAATCCATCTTGGTTTTTGTTTTTTCCCCATCCCCCTGCCCTCCCTTCAATCCCTCCACCCCTCCCTATCTACAAAGACTTTGTTTCCATTTTTTCTTTTTCTCAAGTTAATTCCATTCCTTTCTTTTCCCCAACCCCCCCACTTGCCCTTCCCCTTTGCACCTTTGCTTCCTATTTCAATTATCTATCACACCTTATTTACACTTTCAGTTTCTCACACTAGAGAAGCTATTTGGTATTTGCACATATGCATCCTGTAAGAGTATCACCTCAATGTGCATCATTTAGTTATAAATGTCTCTAGTTTCTCATTCTTTGTGACTGAGTAGTACTCCATTTTATATATATTAAAAAAAGCCACACACACATTTTCTTTATTCAGTCTCCTGTCTATGGGAAATTGGGAACTTCCAAGTTTTAGCTATCACAAATTGTGCTGCTATGAACACAGGTGCACAGATATCACTGTGATATGATTCTTTTAATTCATTGGGGAAGATACACAGCAGGGAAATAGCAGGGTCAAATGGGACCTCCAATCCTAGTTCTCTGAGGTATCTCCATAATGATTTCTGCAGTGGTTGCACCAGTCTGCACTCCCACCAACAATGGAACAAGGTTGCTCTTTCCCTATAGCCCCACCATCATTTGTATCGGTTGATTTCATGATAGCAGCCATTCTTCTGGGGTGAGGTGGAATCTCAGTAGTTTTTATTTGTATCTCTCAAATGACTAGTGATGTTGAACATTTTTTCATATGTTTATTTGCTATTTGTCCTCTTTCTTTTATAAAACAAAAACCAGAATCTATGGAACAAATAAGAGCCTGTGAAACAAGTTACAATCTATGAAGTAAAAAGACCAAGTTAGAACCTATGAAACAAAACTCTTGTCTCTGACCAGTAATCTTGGTGGAAGACCTCCAAAATGATATAGGGAAAGAGATGTAACTCCCAAACCTGCTAGATATTTGAAACATGAGTTTGTGTTCTCTAAAATAGAAGAATGAATTCTAGGAACAATGGAGGTGAGGAGTAGGAAAAACTTATTGAGGGAAAGAAAGCTTCTGTCTAAGAGAGATAGAAGAAGGACAGGAAAGTGGGTTGCTCCTCTTTCTGTTCATTAAAATGTGATGTTGAAGTCTTTCTCCCCATTATTACTGTACTTTGCCTCATTCTTCTCTTTACATCTAACAGTGCTTATAGAATTGGAGGATCCAAAGTAAGGTATATATAAATTTACACTTATATCTTCTTCTTGAATTGATCTTTGATCATTGCATAATGACCTACTTTATCTTTTTCTAAGTTTTTTGTCTTAAGTTCTGTTTTATAAGATAAGGTACAGCTGTTCCTGCTTGCTGTAGGTTTCTACTTTCCTGAGATATTTTTTTCTTTTTTTTTTAATTGGTGAGGTAAGTTTCTTGTGGCAGCTTATTGTTGAATTTTGGGTATTATGCATTCAGCTAGTTTGTCTTTCAATTGTATAATTTATTTATATTTGAGGTTATTACTGATAGGAACAAAGTCATGTTTATTTTTAACTCTTATTAATACTTTTTGCAATACACAATGATTATACTCATTGTAGGGAAAAGATATGTGTGCATAATACATTTTAATTCTCTTTTTCGCTTCTTTACACCCCTTTTATTTTGCCAGCATCAGATTCATTCATTTATCTTATAAGGCCTTATAAATTTAATCATTATATACACAGATTAAAAACCAGACTAATAGTCCAAAACATATAAAATTTTTAAGACAATCATACAAAGTTAACGTAGACTTTTATATATAATTTCCACATAGGATTATAATAACTTTTTTCTCTCTCTTTTTCTTAGTATCTGTCTTTTATTTCATACTTTCTTTATATGTAAGGTTTTTCATATAAGTCAAACCACACGAGAGTTAAGTTGTGCACTTGATATAATTCACACTAAGGGCTTGAGATTTGGCTCATTGTTTGAGCCACCTGCCTCTTGACTGATTTATGTCACAACTCCTTTTATTTGGTTGATTTTTTTTTAGTTATTTGGACTATTGTATTTTACTTCTCTTGTTCATCTTCATGAAATAATTATTTATTTTATTGATATTGTTTGATTTCTTCATTCTTTTCTGTTTCTACTTTCTGTATATACCCTTACATTGGAATATATACTTTCATGTGATTTTATGATGGTGATCACTTTCACATCTGGTAGTAGAATTCCCTTTTGTATGGCTGGTCTAGTGCACATGAATTTTCTCAGCTTTGACTTTAATTTTCTCCTTTATTTCTGAAGTATAGTTTGGCTGGGTACAGTAATCTTAGTTGGCAGTTATTTTGTTTTTGAATGTGAACTATATATCATTTCAATTATTCCTGGCCTGAATGGTTTCTGTTGAGAAATCTGCTGTTAATATAATTTTGGTTACCTTAAATGTGACTTGGCACTTTTTATTGCAGATTTTATAAATTTTTCTTGGTCTCATACTTTTCACAGTTTGATTATGGTAGAGATCTTTTGTGGTTCTGTGTCCTTGGGGTTCTAAATCCTTCTTGTTCATGGATGGTAGTATCATTTTCAACATTAAGGAAGTTTTCTGTTCTTACTTTTTTGAATAGTTTTTCTATGACATTAACTTTTTCTGTTTGCCATTATATATTCCAGATATTGTTCCTTTAATGTTCAAAAGCTTTTCATTCTTTCCATCCTCTCCCCTCCCCTCCCTGAAATATCTCAAAAGGCTACACTTCAAGTTCAGATAATTTTCATTCTCTTGAATTAGATTGTTTTCAAATTGCCTAACTATATATTGTTTGATTTATTGAACCTTTCATGGCCAAGATTTCCATTTGATTATTTTTGAAAAATCTGTATTCCCTGGTGGAATTTCTTATTCATATCCTGCATTTTCTTCTTAATTTTATGTAAGTGCTAGTCTGTTTTCTCTTCAATCTTATTGAGATTTTTTAATAATCGTTACTT